TTTAAAAAAAAAAAAAAAAAAGATATACATTTAAACACATGTCTCTCTTCCATTAATGGGCATGTGTAGAGCACTGAAACCAATAATTTTAGAATACACATCCTTCCCAAGTGTATTAAAGTTGGGAACATTTCCCAACTTTAATCAAAGTTTTGATAAAATCCTGGTCAAATTTTACAATAAGAGAATATACACTCATCTCCAGAATATATACAAATAGGGACTATTGGAGAACTTACATCAGCCTTAAAGGTACCAAAATTGACCAGAATTGACCACTAGCGATAAAGTGTCAACAAATACCAAAGAACTGATATCTAAAGACTGTAAGACAATAAAACTAAAAATCAATAACAACAACAAACCACCCTTACATTTGGCAAATTGTAAATGTACTCCTATAAATAGATAAAGGGTCAAACAGAGAAACACAAAGGAAATTGGCAAAATGTTTCTTGCTGATGAATCCGTGAGTCCTATTTCTACTTAGGATATAGAAGTATATGAAAGGCCTTTATTCCTGTCAAAACAAGAAATCCCAAGATGAACCAAAACTTCCCTTTAAAGCCATCCAAGAGCTATGGATACACAAAGATCCAAAAGAACTCAACTATGGAGAGGAAATGCTTTCCTAAATGAGGAAAGAACAGAAATACTTTCATACGTGGGTCCAGTCACTGAGTTTGCTAGGAGCATGCATGGAGGAACAAGCTGCCAGAAAAGGACTATCTATGCTCAGATAAAAAGCAATTGAACTTAAGAAACCTCGGGGCTTATGCTTCAGATAAGAATCTAAGAGAGCCTCTTTACTAATCCTAAACAATTCTCTTCCAGGGAATTCTGCTGCGTAAGTGGAGACTGAGATATGGAGAGAGAAAGCAAAGGAAGATCTTAATAGTCACACAGTTTCAAAGTGTCATCATCTCCAACTCTCATGGTCGCACAGTCCTAAAAAATTTTTTTAAATATACTTTTTTTCAAATATATATTTTTAAGTATTGATTTCAGAGAGAGGAAAGAAGAGAGAGATAGAAACATCAATGATGAGAGAGAGTCATTGATCAGCTGCCTCCTGCATGCCCCGTACTGGGAATCGAGCCTGCAACCTGGGCATGTGCCCTGCCTGGGAATTGAACCTTGATCTCCTGGTTTATGGGTCTACGCTCAAGCACTGAGCCATGCCAGCTGGGCAGAATTTTAGAATCATAGTTTCAGCAGCTCTCAGTTTTGAAGTCCAGTGGTAGTTGGTACCAGGCTTCCCTGGACGGAGACTTGTGAACTCACCATCAACACATTTGAAACCAGAGGTAAATTGAAGTCAGCCAAAGCTGAACCACACTCCACCCAATTCAAATTTTATAAGCTATCCCTGGTGGCCAAGGGAGTCGGGCTGAGCTGGAAAGTGAAGAGGTATCTCATTAGACTCCTAGAGCTTGAATTCCAAGGCTCTGCTAGAGTTTAAAGCCACACCCCACCCCAATCTAGCTCTGTTTCTAAATGCATTAAACTGATAAACCCCTCATCCTAGCTGCCTAACAGAGGAAAGAGCATTTCCTCTTTTAAAAAAACCATCTACTTTAGACAAAAACCTCTGGCATAAAATTTAAAAATTACAAGATGTGTAAAGGCACCAGATTATCAACCCATAAACAAAAGGGAAATTTGTCAATAGAAACAGGTTTGGAAGTATCAGGAAAAGACTTTTTAAAAACTATGATAAACATAATAAATAATCTACAAGTAAACATGGATGAATTGGATGAAGAGATGGAGAATTTCAGGAAATATTTGGAAACTATAAAAAAGAAACAAAATGGAAATCTTAGAACTAAAATATACAGTATCTACCATTTAAAAAAAATTACTGCATGGGATTAATGTAGATTAGGCACAACCAAGGAAAAATTACATTTATTTGAAGACCTTCCAAAAGAAATCAAGCAGATGGGAGCACA